CAGTGGCAGCAGCAATGGGCTCAAACATAGCAACAGTTGTGAGGATGGTGCAGGACCTGGTGGTATTTCATTCTGTTGTGCTTAGGGTCACTATGAGCTGGAACTGACTCAACAGCACCTAACAATCATAACAAAGCTGGCCAGTAGGATTAAGGGCAACTTCCTAGATTTAAAGACTGATGTGGAATCCAGTTCAGTGGTACTATTAGGGAATGTTCCTTTGTTCCAACATTTTCTCCCACATTCTACACAAATGCAATATAAGACTGAGAGACCATACTTGATTCAGTAATATCTATCTACCTGTTCAAATTTTATTAAAACTTTCAGGAACAGTCAGCCCAACTCTTATCTCAATTAATTAAGTAATTAAACCAGAAAATTTCTATTGATTACCAACTTCATGCCAATCTGTCCTGAACAGTCACCGCTTGTCTGTTAGTGTGTTGCATGGTGGTGACTTGCATAATGCTGAGATGCTGGAAAACGGTGTCATCAGTAGTTTAAAGATCAGCAGGATAACCCATGGTGGACAGATTTCAGCTGAGCTTCCAGACCAGGAAAACCTAAAGCTGACTGCTTCTGAATGGTTAACTACTGAAAACCCATGAATAGCAGTGGCATATTATCAGGTGTAGTGCCTGAACATAAGCCCCTCACGTTGGAAGACAATCAAAATACGACTGGGGAAGAGCTGCCTCCTCAAAGTAGAACTGACCATAATGAGGCAAATGGAGTAAAGCTTTCAGGACCTTCATTGCTGATAGGGCACAACTCAAAATGATAAGGACCATTAAAAATCAGAACATGGAATGTATGAAGTATGAGGCTTGCAAAACTGGAAGTTGTGAAAAATGAAATGGAACTCATAAGGATCAATATCCTAAGCATTAGACAGCTGAAATGGAGTGGCTTTGGCCATTTTGAATCTTACAATTATATGGCTTATTATGCCAGGAAATTTAAGAGGAATCATGGTAAAAGAGCATTTCATTTCCACATGCATAAAAATTACACAAGATCCATACATCATACCTTACACACACAAAAAACATTAAAAATGGATCAAGGACCTGAATGTTAAATCTAATATCATAAAGCTCTTAGAAGAAAGTATAGGGGCAAAACTATGGAACCTAGTTTGTCTTTAATGATAGCGTATCAAATACAACAATAAATCCAGAAGTAATAAAAGACAAAACAGATAATTGTGACCTCATAGAAAAAGAAAAAAAAAGAATACTTATGTTTATAAAATTACTTTATCGAAAGAATAAACCTACAGCCTCGGGCAAAAATCACTGGGAACTACATATCCAAAATATATGTATAATTATTACAGCTTAAAAAATGAAAAAAAAAAACCAAAACACAAAAGACCCAGTCAAAAAATGGGCAAAGGACACAAACAGATACATCATTGAGGAAGATATCCAAGCAGCCAAAACATACATGAAAAGATGATCTTCATCATTTACCATTAAAGAGATCTATATCAAACTACAGTAAGATATCACTGCACCCCTACTAGAATGTCCAGGACCAATCTAACAGAAAATAAATGTTGGTGAGGATGTGAGGCAATTAGAACACTTATTCATATCTGATAGGAATGGAAAACAGTATGATTATTCCTCAAAAATTTCAAAATAAAACTACCATCGTGGTGGTGGTGATGGTGATGTGCCATGGAGTCGGTTCCAACTCATAGGGTTTCTGAGGCTACAAATCTTTACGAGAGCAGAAAGCCTCGTCTTTCTCCCGCGGAACAGCTGGTAGTTTCAAACTGCTAACCCTGAGGTTAGCAGCCCAATTTGTAACCACAACACTACCAGAGTGACTTAAAACTACCATATGGCCCCCAAATTCCACTCCTAGGTGTAGGGCTAGGGATCTAAAAATAGCAACGCAGACATATACATACACCTATGTTCAGAGCAGCGCTAGTCTCAATAGCACAAAAGTAGAAATACTCATCAATTGATGAATGAATAAACAAAATGTGGTACATAAATACAATGGAATCAATGACTCATCCATAAAAAGAAATTAATTCTTGATGCATGTTACAGCAAGGAAGAACATCAAAGACATTATGTTGAGTGAAATAAGTCAGTCAAAAAAGGATAAACACTATATGACCTCACATATATGGAATAACAAGAATCAGAAAAAATACAGACACCAATGGTACTAAGTGGTTACCTAGGGCAGAATGGAGAAAGAAGAGAGGAAATAATTCTCTGAGAAGGAGTGAGTTTATGTCTCTGGTAATGGTAAAATTGGCATCAAATATGGGTAATGGTTATGCAACTTGACTAAGACAACTGATATCACAAAATAAAAGGGCAAACTGGCATATATTGTGTTATTTTTAATATTACAACAACAGCAATCAAAAAGAGAAAGAGAGGAGGCAGCTGCTGATACTATTTACATGCAACCAAAGACTTCATGGTATTAGTTCTCTTAGATTGAAGGCTTAGGGTCATGGCTTTGCAGGACTCTCCAGCCAATTGGCTTAACACTGCCTTTAGAGTTTAATAAGTGGTGCCTTCAGTATGCATTGTACCTCAATTGAAATAAAACAAAAATACTCACAACTGGACTAGGAAATAACACCATGAGAAAAGATTGAGGTTGTCAAAGACTGCATTTTGCTTGGATCCACAATCAGTGCTGATGAAAGTAGCAGCCAAGAAATCAAATGACATATTGCTTTAGGCAAATCTGCTGCAAAAGACATCTTTAAAGTGTTAAAGAGTAGAGATGTCACTTTGAGGACTAAGGTGCACCTGACCCAAGCCATGGTATTTTCAATCGCCTCCTATGCATGTGAAAATTAGATAATGAATAAAGAAGACTGGGAAAGAATCGATGTATTTGAATTATGGTGTTGGAGAAGAATATTAAAAGTACCAGAAGAACAACTTTAAAAACAAAGTTTTAAAACTTTCAGAAGAACAAATAAATCTGTGTTGGAAGAAGTACAGTCAGAATGTTCCTTAGAAGTCAGGATGGTGAGATTTTGTCTCTCATACTTCAGACATATTATCAGGAGGGACCAGTTTCTGGAGAAGGACTTCATGCTAGGTACAGTGGAGGGTCAACAAAAAAAGAGGGAGATCTCCAGCAAGATGGACTGAACAATGGCAGCAGCACTAGGTTCCAATGTAACAACAATTGTGAGGATGGCACAGAACCAGACATGTTTCATTCTGTTGTGCATAGGGTTGCTATGAATCAGAACCAACTGAATGGCCCCTAACACAACAAAGATGACTTCTAACAACAACAAGGTCTTAAAATCTTGTGTGTGGCCATTGGGATGCCAATGGAAAAAGTAGAAGTAACACTAGCTCTAGTTGCAGATGACATGATGCTATATAGAGAAAATTCCAAAGATGTCACATACAAAAAAGGTACGAGAGTTAATAAATGGATTCAGCAAAATTTGTAGGATATAATACCAACATTCAGAAAGGTGTATGACAAGGTTGTAGTCTTTCACCATACTTATTCAACCTGTATGCTGAGCAAGTAATCCGAGAAGCTGGATTATATGAAGAAAACTGTGGCATCAGGATTGGAGAAAGACTCATTAACAACCTGAGATATGCAGATGATACAACCCTGTTTGCTGAAAGTGAAGAGGACTTAAAATATTTACTGATGAAGATCAAAGAGGACAGCCTGAGGTATGGATTACATCTCAATGTAAAGAAAACAAAATCCTGGACCAATAAACAACATTCTTATCAACAGAGAAAAGATTGAAGTTGTCAAGGACTTCATTCTTCTTGGATCACCTATCAACACTCATGGAAGCAGTAGTCAAGAGCTCAAACGATGTATTGCATTAGGCAAATCTGCTGCACAAGAACTTTTTAAAGTATTGAAGAGCAAATATGTCATTTGATTTCTTGGCTGCTACTTTCATGAGCACTGATTGTGGATCCAAGCAAAATGCAGTCTTTGACAACCTCAATCTTTTCTCCATTTATCAAGGTGCATCTGACCCAAGCCATGGTATTTTCAATAACCTCATATGCATGCGAAAGCTGGACAGTGAATAAGGAAGACTGTAGAAGAATTGATGCCTTTGAGTTATGGTGTTGGAGGAGAATATTAAAAGTGCCATGGGCTGCCAAAAGAACCAATAGATCCGTTTTGGAAGAAGAGCAGCCAGAGTACTCCTTAGAGGCCAAAATGGCCAAACTGCGTCTCTCATACTTGGGACATATTGTCAGGAGTGACCAGTCACCGGAGAAGGATATCATGTTTGGTAAGGTGGAGGGTCAGAGAAAAAGAGGAAGACCCCCAACGAGATGGAATGGCCAAATGGCAGCATCGATGGACTCAAGTGTGTAAACAGTAGTGAGGATGGCCCAGGATTGCACAGTATTTTGTTCTGCTGTGCATAAGGTTGCTATGGGTTGGTACCAACTCAATGGCACCTAACAACAACAATATGAATGAACCTTGAAAGCATGCTAAATGAAATAAGTCAGACACAAAAGGATAAATATCATATGATCCCACTTATAAGAATTATCAAGAATAGGCATATGTATGCATAGAGACAGAAAGTAGATTAATGATAATGAAGGGTTGGGAGAAGGGAGGAAAAGGAAGTTATAGCTTAATGGATATAGAAGTTTTCTTTGGGAAGATAAAAAGTTTTGGAAACCAATACTGATGATGGTTTCAGAACACTGGAAATATAACTAACACCACTGACTTGTACATTTAAATGGTTAAAATGGTAACTTTCATGTAATGTATATTTTAGCATAATAAAATAAAAGACAGGAATCAGATTTCAGAAGGTAAAATGTCTGGCTGAGGAGTATATTTGGTTTCTTCTGTAGACAATTGGAGCCACTGACGAATTCTGATAAGGAGAAAGATTCAATCACAACTGTAGTTCATACAGAGGAAAGCTTCCTCTCAGGAGATTTTCTTACCAAACAAAATACGTAGAAAGGGATTGCCTTTACCTGAGCATGTCTTTTTATCTTCATTCAAGGTGTAGCCAGCATAGCAATCACAGTGGTAGGATGCTGCCCCATCACTCACACAAACATGCTGACAGCCATGAGTGCCCAGAGCACATGTGTTGCGTACTGACCATAAACGGTGCAGGAAAGAAAACATTCACTCATTAAATTAGAAAACAAAACACACATTTCTGGGAGAAAAACAAAAGTTGCAATTTGACACCAAAAAGCTAAGTATAAATCCTTCAGTGATCAGGGGTAAATCTTCTATGTTTCAGAAGTAGAAAAGGCTGTTTCCCATTTCCATATCTGACATCCCTTTACTTGCACACACCTCTTTCTTTCTTATTTCCTGCAAATATCTGAGGGTGCCTTCTCTTTTTTCCTAACAACAGCGCTGAGGCTACACTGAGTCTTGATTACATTCCAGAACTTACCTTTGCCCTTTCTTCATGTCCACAGGAGACAACTAATGTCTCCTGCTGTTTCTGGATCATCATAGCCATCACCCAAAACAAGTCATTAGGGACTCACCTGGCACTGAGTTTGGTGCGGTACAGCAAAGGCTACTTTGGTCAAGGGATGGAAATTGATAGAATAAAAATAACACCACCAACAGGGTAGTGTATGACTGGAAGTGAAGTCATTATTACCTATCACACCTAAATACATTTTAGGGACCAGAATAGTTTGCCTAAATTTGGGAGGAGAGCAGAGAGATTGCTGTTCTACTTAAGTGTGTCCAGGTTAAAAGAAAACAGCAATTCTCTAATAAACTCAGAAAGCTTTGTTAGGACAGGTAGGTTCTCACCTGCCAATGCAAGGACCAAACCACTTGTTCCTTTCTAATTAAATGTCATTCCAGATCCAAAAACCTTCCATGGCTCACCATTGCCTACAGAATAGCTTTAGTTGAAATGCAAGGTCCTATATAATCTATCTATAAAGTGCCTTTCCAATCTTAAAACTGATATTTCCTGTCATCGCTGCAAATGAGGATTTTCCCTGGGGGTAGGAGGAAGTGCCTGCACAGAATATTTGTTTTTTACATCTTTTCCCAGCTCAGAATCCACTCTAGAAATAACTGGACATGCCACTACCTCTGGCCCCTTATTTGTGCATACTAAAGTCTTCATCCTGTCCAGCAAGGGAAAAGCAGCCATTAGAAGTGATCTGACCCATGTTATGTACCCCTACTTTAAAATATAATCCATTATTACTTTAAAATATATAAACTCTAGTTTTTCTGCCATTTCATCTTTCTCTTATATCTCTTTTATCCTGCATTTTTCACAATGAGACAGCATGGCTTGAGTTAGAGCACAGCCTCTGGAGGTAATAACTGGGTTCAATTCCCGGCTCTGCTAATTCTGAGCTGAGTAACTTGTGAGCAAGTTACTTAATCTGTCTATGCCTCTGTTTTCTCACAAAATTGCTGTGTGAATTAAATGAGCTACTGTGTCTAAAAATGCCTAGAGCTTTTCTCTTCCTTTCTTCACCATCGTGTGAGCGCTGCTACATTCCATCTTCACTATGTCTCCTCATAAGACTTTCAGGATTAAGAGATTCCTGGACAAGAAACAAAAGCAGAATCGTCCCATTCCCCAATGGATTTGAATGAAAACTGGTCCAACTCCAAGAGAAGACACTGGAGAAGAACCAAGCTGGGTCTCTAAGGAGTCACACATGTAAATGGCACAGCACATACTACACCCAGGTCCTAGCACTCTACCATACCAAGTTCAAGTTTGCCAAGATTTGATCAGTTGAACATATTTTTCAAAACCTCTGGTTTCTTTCTTTATTTTTATGCTTCCCCATTTAAAGAGGTTGGCTAATAAATATATGAGAACTTTGGTTTGAGATAGATAGATAGATAGATAGATAGATAGATAGATAGATAGATAGATAGATAGATGGATAGATAGATAAAAATAAAATGCCTGGAGTATGCAGACAGTAGGCACTGAAGAATATTAGCAATCATCTATTTGAAGGACTGCTTGGAGTAATGTGCCTAAATTTACATCTTTCTTTTGTCCTTTATGTTATTTATAATAAATGGTTTTGTTATATATAATAAATGGTTTAATCCAGAATATGTTTGTTCAAATGTCTTTAAAAAATTTTTTTTTATCATTTTGTCTTCCTGGTCTTCAATGTTCCTGACAGTTTAAAGCAGCAGCAGGGATACTTAAAAATGAGTTTGAGAAGCGCAGCCATCTGTGAGTCCTCTCCACCCAAGTGACTTAGTCCTACTTCCCTGAACAAACCCATGCAAGTTATTCCCCTGCTGTTCTTCGCATCTCTGTAGCTAAACCTGCACTATTCTTCAAGACCCAACCCTAGTTCCACCTGTCTGTGTACTTTCCCAAACAGCCCATGGGAGCTCCCACACACTCCAGCAGTCCTTACTTAGGTTGATCCCTTTCACTGGCTTCTCAGTCTCAACTTTCTTGAGATATTGCTACTCTTTCAGGCTCTAAGTTGATTGTAGGCAGAACTTTATGCTTCTTTATGTTCCCATAGTGCTTAGCACAGTCCTGGGGAAAATGGGTAATCAGTATACTTCTATTGGAGCCCTGGTAGCATACTGGATTACGAGCTGGGCTGCTAAATACAAGGTCAGCAGTTCAAATCTACCAGTCACTCTGTATGAGAAAGATGAGGCTTTCTGCTCTGTAAAGATTTATAGCCTCAGAAACTCTATATAGGATTGCTACGAGTCAGAACCGACTCCACGGCACACCACCATCACCACCACTACCACTCTTTCATTGATTTTATAAATTAAAAAAAAAAGTCTTTTTTTTTTTTTATGCCATTTCCCTTCATCTAGCTTGAATAAAAACATGTTTACTTAAGAGAGAAAAAATATATATAAATCTGAAATGTATTGAATAAACCAAAAGTAAACACCACTTTGAAAGGTAGGAATATCTCTTAGAAGTGTTTTTTCATTATAAATGCCAGCCTGTTCTGCCAGAGAATTTAAGTCAAATTAATGAGGATCGGCAGTACTAGTATGGACTCATTAGCCAAGTGCCTCATAAAGTTCAGATTCAATGAAATTTGGTCATCTAGAGACTGTCAAGGAATGACTTACTTCCAATTTCCTGGAAGATATGTGTGGGTCTAATTCAGTCACTGACAAAGTCCTCTTTACTAAAACAGTTTGGCTTTACGATTAGGACTACAGAAAAGTGTTCCAGGCCAAGTTTTAATTGGAAAAAGATCAGCCTATCATACCAAATAGTTACTGCCCAACTGACTTCCTATGAAATTTCCTATTTGCTTTAAAAGTCCCCTGTCTGAAGAGCTATAAAATTTTCCTGGATAAAGCCCCTATATTCAGTTAGCTTTTCTCCTATCACCCACTTCCTATTCATTTCCAGTCATTTTATGAAACGATCTATGTTTGCAAATTCTAGTTAGTTAGTTCCTCTTTGAGCAATGTATGGCCCAGCCTACATCGAATGCAGAATGCCTGGACCCCGAATCTTTAAATTATCTTTAAGAATCTCTCTTCTAGTGAACTGAAAATTGGTTTCACTACAATAGACAAGGCCAAGTATGCAAGAAATTGTTTAAAGGACCTTACCTGAACATGTTTTTTTGTCTTCATTCAAAGTGTAGCCCTCATAGCATTCACAGTGATGGGACCCAGCTCTGTCACTCACACAAATGTGCTGACACCCATGTATACCAAAAGCACACTTATCCTGAGCTATCAAACAAAATTTCAGGAGAAAGTCATTAAAAAGTGGAAAAATGTTTTACTGCCAGTTTATTAAAATCTCCCTATTTGAGACTTGACTATGTGCTGAAGACTTGAGGGGGTGGGGAGTGTAGGGGGCAGGCTTGCAGGATATACCCTTTGGTTGGTTGATGATGCATGGAGGGGACTGTAACCATGGCAATGAAATGATATATGATAGAATGAGTGTAAAACTAATGTTCTCCCATGTAAACTATCATATAATTCACAATAAAGCATTAAAAAAAAAAAAAAAGTAGTGAAGGGCTGGTTGAGGATATAGTATTCATTAAAGATGTCCAGACCAGCTCCATGTTGTACTAGATTTACTGAGCTCTTTTCTTTCTGCTATTACCCATTCTCTTTTCCCCTGACACACCACTTGAGTAAGAATTTGTTCAAATCAAGAGCACCCTGTTCCCAGGATGGCTTTCCTACCTCTTTTCGCAGCTGTGAATTTCATTAAAAAACTCAATTTTCATCTCCAAAAAAATCTCTCTATTTGCCACTAGAAATATGTAAGAGGAAACCCCACTTGAAACTATTTAAATCCATTGGTGGAATTTACTCTCACTAGAACTTAACTGGTAGCATAGTGGTTACAAGTCGGGCTGCTAACCTCAAGGTCAGCAGTTCGAAACTGACAACCGTTCTGCGGGAGACAGATGATGATTTCTGCTCCCATAAAGATTTACAGCCTTGGAAACCCCATGCAGGATTGCTATCCACTGCACACCACCACCACCAGAAGTTAGCTGGACTCTTGGTGTGGTGCTGTAGGATAAGTCTGCAGTTCAAACCCACCAACTGCTCCTTGGAAACCCTGTACAGGGTCGCTGTGAGTTGGAAGCAACTAGGTGGCATGTAACAACAACAGAAGTTAGCTAAAGCTCTCTGGGTAGCACAAACGGTTAAATGCTCAACTCCTACTAGCCAAATGATTGGTGATTCAAACCCAGTCAGAGCATATCAGAAAAACAGACCTGGCCATCTGCTTCTGATGGAGCAGGATGACACTTCTCACATGGAGTCATCCAGAGTCGGCATCGACTCACTGGCAGTTAACAACAGAGGTTAGCTAAGTTAAGCACGATTCTACATTGTTGTAGTTGTTAAGTGCCATGAAGTTGGTACCAATTCACAGGGTTTCTGAGGAGTGGCAGGTGAGCTTGAACTGCCAATGCTGCAGTTCAAACTGACCTTGCAGTCCAGTGCATTAACTCACAGCGCCACACCAGGACTACATACATAATGCTACATACATAAAATTCTATATACATAATTATTATTCTGTTGCTTTCTCCAACCCTTTTGAAAATCATTGGTGTTGTTTTTTAGTGTTGACTTTTTGTATTTGTCGTTAGTGTTGAATGTTTATGATCTATCTAGCTCAGAAGCATTTTGGAAAAAATTCCTTTCAGGTTTACTGTATTTATACTAAATCAGAAGAATATCAACAGGTGTGTGACTCATTAATTACACTAAATTCATAAAACTATAGGGTTAGAATTTAAAGAAATTGTAATTCAACCCTTTCCTACTATAAATGAGGAAACTAAGTTCAAATGAGACCAGTTGATTCAGGACTAAGCATCAGAACTCAAGACCTAAATTTTGAAACATTGTTCGTATTGTTAAGAGCCATCAAGTTGGTTTCTACTCATAGTTACCCTGTAGAGAGTTTCTGAGGCTATAAATTTTTGCAGGAGCAGAAAACCTTATGTTTCTCCCCTGGAGTGTATGGTGGCCTTGAACCACTGACCTTGCAATTCGCAGTTCAGTGCTTATCCTACAGAGCCACCACATTCCCCTAAAATATGACATTTTAAACTATTTTTTTTAATTCTCTTTTCAAAATAACTTCAAACTTATGATAAAAATAATACAATAACTTTCTATGTTTCACCCAGTTTCCCTAAAACTCTCCAAATCTTACCTAACAAAATATCAGAATTAGTACCGATACAGTATAATTAACTATTCTGTAGACCTTAGTCACATATGGCCAATTATTCTACTATTTTTCATTTTCTGGTCCATGGATCCAATCTAGAATCACACTGCATTAAGTTGTCCTATTTCCTATGTTGGTGTTCTTGTTAAGTGCCATCGAGTAGGTTCCAACCCATAGCTACCCTGTATAGGGTTTCTGAGGAGCGAATGGTGAGCTTGAACTGCCACCCTAGCAGTTTAAATGGCTTTGCAGTCTGGCGCATTAACCCACAGCACCACACCAGGGCTCCCATGTTTCCTTGTTGTTGTTGTTGTTAAGTGCTGTCGAGTCAATTCTGACCCACAGTGACCCTGTATAGGGTTTTCAAGGTGCAGCTGGTAAGCTTGAACCACCGACCTTGCAGTTCAAATGGCTTTGCAGTCTGGCGCATTAACTAACCCACAGCACCACACCAGGACTCCTTCAAATTAGGGAAGACATTTCCTTAGTTTTTCACGAGTGTGATATATTTGTAAAGTACCAGAAAATCATTTTGTAGTGTGTCTCTCGAATTGGGTTTGTCTGATGTTTCCTTATGATTTCGTTCAGCTTATCGATTTTCTTCTCATCACATCATTTAGTTTGGTCTGCCAGTGCTGTTTTATCCTCAATACGTCATGCTAGGACATAGGATATCATTGTCTCATTACTGGCGACATTAACTTGGATGACTTGGTTAAGGTGGTATCTGGCAAATTTCTCCACTAAGTTACTGTTTTTCTCTTTGTATGTAATAACTATTATGTAGGGTATAACTGAGATGCTGGTGCTGCAAGTTAAGCACTGACTGCTAACCACAAGGTCTGTGGATCAAACTCACTGGCCATTCCTTGGAAACCCAATACAAGTCACTGTGAGTTGGAATCAACTATATGACACTTAACAACAACAGGGTGTTATTTGGTTTTAACTTAGTAAGTTGTTCTTACCATTTAGGGGACAAGGGACAGAGAGAAAAATAAACAACATATTGATCCACATGAGCCATGATATATATGTTGTTGTTGTTTAGTACCATGGAGTCGATTCTGACTCATAGTGATCCTGTACAGGGTTTCTGAGGTTGTAAATCTTTATGGGAGCAGAAAGACTCATCTTTCTCCCGCGGAACCACTGGTAGTTTCAAACTGCTGACCTTGCGGTTGGCAGCCAAACTCGTAACCACTATGCTACCAGAGCTCCTTACATGGCACTATTTCTACCTTTCCTGGTAAGACTTGTTGTTGTTATGTGCCATCGAGTTGGTTCCGACCCATAGCGACCCTGTATAGGGTTTCCGAGGCTGTAAATCTTTATGGGAGCAGAAAGCCTCCTCTTTCTCCCACGGAACAGCTGGTAGTTTCAAACTGCTGACCTTAAGGTTCGCAGCCCGATTCGTAACCACTATGCTACCAGAGCTCCTTACATGGCACCATTTCTACGTTTCCTAGTAAAACTTAGAAATGTGAAAAGCCTAAGTGTGGCCAGAGATGAAAATAGATCCTTTTCCAGGCAACATTACCTCACCATCTACACTGGATAGGCAGGTAGATAGATAGGTAGCAATGGTGAAGACGCCTCACCTGAACAAGTTTTCCTGTCTTCATTCAAGGTATAACCTTCGTAGCACTCACAATGATAAGAGCCTGCTCTGTCATTCACACAGATGTGTTCACATCCATGAGTGTTAAGAGCACACTTATCAGTAGCTGTTCAAATAAAGATGATCAGAAATAATGTGAGTACATGGAGAACATACGGTCAACATTTACTGGCCTCATTGCTTACACACTCCTTCACACACATGCATATACTGCCAACGACACGAGACAGCACAGCACAAGTAAAGGGTGTTGGACTAGGCCCTAGCAGCTAACTTTCTGGTCATAGCTGTTTCACTCACAGGCCCAGCGACATGTGTAAGACTTGCCGTCTCTTTGAGTCTCAATTTCATTATCTATAAAAAAAGCAGGTTGGCTTAAATGATCTCTTAACTTTTCTTCCTCTCAAAATTCTTTTCTAGGATTTGAATCCTAATTCTCACCAACTCTGTGTGAATATTGATGCACTAAATGAATGAAGAACTTTCTAAATTTTCTTCCACTTCTAGAGTCTATGAATATCTATGGGAACAAAGCAGAAGGAGCAGCTAGTATTTAAATAAAATACAGGTAAAATTCCAATTCCTCAAAAGGGCCAAGAGTTTTGGCCTTCACCGCACTATCATTTCCCTTAATACAAGTAATAAGTAACATAGCAGATTGAGTTATGTACTATCTCACTTACCACCACCCCCTGCCCCCCCAAGTTTCTTTTCCAGAAAAGCTGTTAGTGACCAACAGTAAACCAGTCAAAAGCAGTTAGGTGAAAGGGGCCTGAGAGTTCAAGCATAAAGCAAGCCTAAAACCTGAAGAAGAGATCTCCCAAATAAAGTCTAGTCAGCCGCCATCCCCTAAAGGAAGCCTTACCTGAACAGGTTTTTTTATCAGCATTCAAGGTATAACCTTGGCTACACTCACAGTGGTGACTGCCTTCCCCGTCACTGACACACACGTGCTGGCATTGGTGTGTGCCGAGCACACATGGATCCAGAGCTGTGCAAAAGAAGTTTACAACAGTCAGCATTAACACATGAGAACCATCTCAGATAAAGACAAAAAGACATTCTATCCAGGTTCCTTCCAATTCTCTCTTTGGTTCATTATAAAAATTGGTTATTTGTTTTATGCCTCTGACTTACTAGAAATATCACTCTAACTAGAAATATTAGTTTAAAATTGTAGAGCTTGTTTGTAGACTTTCATAAAGGAGAAAGGGAATTTGAAATCTGGAACTGAAGCTAAATACTTACATGGGTCAGGCAAGTTAGTTTCATTCAGCTTACCCACCAGCTCATGAAAAAGAATTTTATTTCCCAACCACAAGAATTGAGAACAATAATACTTCCTGAAGTTCTATGAACTAGTTTCCCAACACAACAAGAATCTAATCTCCAAAGATTCTAGAGTTTATATCTAAGCAGAATTTACACACAAGCATTCCTCTGGCTTGGATCTTACTCATATGTGGGTGCTGTTGTTGTTGTGCCATCAAGTCAGTTCTGACTCATAGTGACCCTGTATAGGGTTTCTGAGGAGTGGCTGGTGGGTTTCAAACACCGATCTTGTGGTTGGCCATCCAGTGCTTATCCTACAGTGCCACTCTAGGACAAATACTTGGGTAACGATAACATATTTGAACATTCAAATGGTGGAGGGCAATGTGGGTAACTGTCTGATAAATATCCATGCAGCATGAGTTCTTAAATCCAAATATATACATAGGTAACTACTGAGTCTCTAATGCCATCATAGAGAACAAACTCATAACACTAAACACAAACAAATACAAATAAAAGAGAGAACATAATTAATGAGATTGCATTCGCTAAACTTTACGAGGGGGCTTCAAAAAATCTGTGGAAAAGTGGAATTAAAAGATAATGGAATTTTTCCACAAATTCTTTGAAGCCTCCTCATATCTCCATCTTTTCATTCCTGGATCTGTTTACAATTTCATTCATTTGGTGGTGGTGGTGGTGGTTGTTGCTTGTTTAGAAAAATGAGTCAATAAATTTAGTCACTTCTGAGAAACCAAGGAGGCCTGTTGGAGGAGACTGGTACTTCTGTGGCAGGTAACTTAGCCCCATTGGCGTTGGCCACAAGACAAGGCTAATATTTTCCTAAGAAGGGTTTTTTCGTGGAACGATCTTTCCAATCCATTGACTACAACAAGCTGCCCCTCAGTCTTTTTTCCACAAAGAAGACATTTTTTCCCCAGAACAAGTAAGTCTTTTGTTCCAGAAGGAAAAGATTGCCACTCACCACTTGTTACTTGATGGTCTTTAGACCCAACCCCAGGTGCTAACTTGAGACTCAACTTTGCCACAGACAGCATCTTGATGAAAAGTTCTCACCCACAAGCCAGGGTTTTTTTCCTGGGAGAAAGAAAGTCATTTTCTTTTTGGGAAACCAATGAATTCCAAGTAGATGCCACCAAAGCCAAGGAAGGCTTGTGAAGGTCCAGTGTGCTGGGATAGGAAAGACAAGGGGGATCCAGGCCAAGTCTCACTGAGATGAGACCAGGCTTCACCCCAGGCCAAGACTTATGTTCCATTTCCTGACAAACCCGTGATGACTGGGTTTTGCATTAATTTATATATAAAGTCTCCATGAAATGTATAATTTAGTTATTGGTTCCCTTGTTTGTTTCACCCCTCACCCTCAGATTTGATGACAAGGAGGAACTATCTTTATCTTTGCATCATCAGTGATCAAGAAAGGCATGTTGAATAAATAGATGAAGACTAAATTGTGTATCAGAAAGGTGTTTATGTGTTAAAATTCACCTGACCTATCACTTCTCAGCCTTGTGTCTAACATCAAGCAGAAAATTCACCTGGACTAGAAATTTGTCCACACCTGCTTAGATAATTCCATAGAGGGTTCTGAAAAAATAGCTCCAAATGATAGAAAATAAAGTACAAGCCCCCAAAATTCATGGTTTTAGTGAGTGACTAACAATAACAAACACGAGCTTTGAATGAATTAGTACTATTAACTGGCTTCTTCATGCTAAAAACTAATTAACTTAGCATGCACACATTTAAACTCCAACCTAAAAGAATTAAAGGGGAGCTATCTTACAAGTGAACTAAAACCCCAACTTCCCTAGTCCCATGTTTGTTTGTCTATCAACAGAGAATAGTCAGAAATAAGAGCAGATATGAAAACTAGAGTTCAGATTAGATGCACACACGCACTGACAGTTACATTGTAATATGGGACAGCTGACCCGTCCATGGACGGTTGTCACTCCCTGGGTTCTGTAGGAGAATAAGCAGAGTTTTGTTCAATCTAGAGATGATAAAGCTAGAGAAAAATGTTTACAATCTGGAGGGAAATGTGAGGTGTCAGAGGAGAAAGAGAAGTGTCTGAAGCTCTTTTGTTTTTGTTTCCCCCTGACCTTGTCAGGGAACAGGAGGAGCATTTATCCCAGATATTTCCAGACCTTCATGTTTCTAATACCAACATGAAGATTTTTATGAGCAAACCAAGTTATGTATAATGCAACTCTATATTCCTAAGTCAATAGAGTGTGCTTATGTTGGTAAAAACATATAAAAAAACATTGCTTATATTTTAAGTTTTTCATAAAATTTCCACCAAAAAGGAAAGAAAAAAAAAAGAATAAGTCCTCTTTTCAACAGATACACAACGTTGGAATGTAACCTCCTTCCTTATTGGAAGCATAGACTTACCACAAAAAGTTTCCTGAAATCTAGAGGAAAGTTTCTCAATAACCCCATAGGTCTCCACGTAAAAAACATGATCATCCAAGGGTTCACTGGCAATCATCTTGAGGGACTCCATATCTGCCCGGTCCACGCCCACAGCATAGAGCTCAATACCAGATGCCCGAGCCCGAGCTGCCACCTCATTCACCTGGTCCTGGGGTCTACCATCTGTCACGATGATGGCCACTTTGGGGATGTTGGAGGGGGACCCCCGAGCTCCTGCCTCCACTGTGAAGGCTTCGTCCATTGCAGTCTGGATGGCCAGGCCTGACATGGTGCCTGTTGATAAGGGTGTGATTCGAGCCACGGCCTGCTTCAGGGACTGCTTATCTGAGTGTGCCTGGAGATTGAACTCGATCTTCACAGTGCTAGCATAGTTCACTACTGCCACCCGCGTGTCTGCCTCCCCGATGTCCAGAGTGTCAATTATCTGGGAGACAAAGGTTTTCACTTTGGTAAACTCCAGTGGCCGGACACTACGAGAACTATCGATAATAAACACCAAGTCCAACGGTCTGCTCTTGCAAACACCTGCAAAGAAGGGTATGGGATGCAGAAAAGCATGATCAAGTGACACTGGAATGAAACAATCCTCTAACCCCACCAACCATGCTATCTTTCCCAAAATCATTCTCCCTTTGAGTGATGAAATCATCAATGCTTTCAAAATCCTCTAGTAAGAATTCAATTAAGGGTATGAAAATTCCCCAAATACTTCACTTTAGGGTTGGCTGAAACCTTGAAATTTCACTTAGAACCTTATCCCTACTTAAGGTTTTACTCCCAAAGTTCTTCTTGATTCCTAAGAATGAATGAATTCCAGATCTTTCTTGGACACATTTGCCATCTGAGGTAATGGGGCAAAGTGTCCCTGGATAGTATAAAAGCCCTGGATTCCCACAGCCAACCTCACAGCAGACTACCCTGTCTAGGTCTTCTCAGGCCCCTTAGGCAACGGCAGAGTTTGAGACAAAGCATTCTGATGCTCTTCGGGTGGCTTCCTTCTTTCCTTCACTTCCAAGAGAGTCAAAACTTCTCCAGAATAGTCTTACACTCTCCCTCCATCTTGCCATTCATTCATGTTCAGTGATCGTCTCAACCCAATTAACCTTGATCTAGGATCTTGGGGAAAAGGGGTGATGACTAATCTGAGAGATGTTTACTCCACTTCCAACTCTGTAAGCCATCTTGCTTTCAGAAGCAGAGACTGTGACCTAGTATCTATGCTACGGCCCCATCAAATTATCTTGGTCACCCACTTCCATTTATTCATCTACCAAATATTTTTGAGGGGCTGTTTTTTGTTTGTAGCCACCTTTGCGTTGGTCCTCACTCATAGTGACCTCATGCATATCAGAACAAAATACTACTGGGTGCTGTACCATTCCTAGGATCACTTGCAGATTGGACTGTTGGAACTCATAGAGTTTTCACTTGCAGATTTTTCAGAAATAGTTCCCTAGGACTTCTTTCTAGTCCATCTTGGTCTGTAAGCTCCACTTGTTCAGAATCATAGCAACATGCAAACCACCACTGAAGACACGTGGTGGCTGGATATGAGGTGCAAAGGCTGAGAACCAAGTCAGGTTTCCTGCATGGAAGGCAAGAATTCTACCATGAAACCACCAATGCTCCCATTCTGAAGACCTAACATGTTAGGAGTCCCTAGGTGGCACAAATGGTTAACAAAAAGGTCGAGGTTCAAGTCCATCCAGGGGTACCTTGGAAGAAAGACCCGGCACTCTACTTCCAAAAAATCAGACATTGAAAACCACATGGAACACAGTTCTGCTCTAACACATATGGGAAAACAATTCATTGGAATTGTCTCTAGAGCAACTGGTTTACTCATGTAATCCTGTGTTAAATCCTGGGACTACAAAAGCAAATAATCCAGATTTTCTGTCTTCAAGGTACTCAAACTACTTATCTTCCCAATAAATTTTTAAAAATTTTTCTTATCCTATTTCATCCAACCCCATTCTGCTCAACTTCTCTTTTAGCAACCAAAATCAAGCCCAAAAGTCAGGACTAAGAGAGAAGCCAATTATTAGACTTCTTTTACAAATTATCCCCCCTTACCTTTCAACAAACACACACACAGCCCTAAATGTAAATGAGACCCTTGAGTGATGGTGTCCATCCAGGTTCCATCCTAACAGGGGACTAAAAGTTGGTGCTATTCTAAAAAGCAATTTACTCAATAAACATTCCACACAAAAAAATGTGGATTCAAATGAAATTCCTAGGTGAAGCAATTTATGACAGAAAAAAAAACAAAAAAACAATCATGGAACAGGGATTATATCTCTATCTTTTTTTAAAGCTCAAAATTATCCTCTTGGATTTTTCCTGCTGACCAAAGATATTCAATTAAGAAAATAAATTGTATCTTATTTCAAATGGCATGTTAGGAATCACAGGTCACTGATACCACAACCTTGTAAAGTTGATGCAGAGGTTGACTTTATGCCCATTTTACAGACAAGAAATCTGAGGTTCAGGGAGATATAATAACTAGAAAGGTGTAGAACATGGATTAGCTGGTCTCCAACTTTCCTGACTCCTATACTAGGCAGCTTTCCACTGCATCACAGTTGCCTTCTTTGAGACAATATTTCCACAACAAAAAATACTTGCTCATGTAAATAGTAAGCATCCTACTTGTAAACTTTAGGCCACCTCATTGACATATGTTGAATGTCATGCATTTAGTTAACTCAAAAGGAATTAAAAATGTATTTTTTAAATCACTACAAAATTTCACTTCATGCCTTGCTATTACCAAGGATCAGGAAACTAGGAAGAACTATGCTGAAAACTCTTCCTGGAGATGGATTTAGGTATTTGTGCATAATAGGAGTCAATGGCAAAAATCTGTGATTCTTTGAACTCCATAATTGACAATGATTTCACTGAGCTGTTAGACACAAGGCTGAGAAGTGATAGGTCAGGTGAATTTTAACAAATAGTGTCCCTATAGATACCATGATTACATCCTTAAAACTAAACATGCATGATTTCTTCCTTCTTCCTTTGGTTTTTCACACTAAATTCTACAAGAGGCATGCATAGTAGACAGAATAATCATCCCCCAAAATAATCATCCACATCCTAATCCCTGGAACCTGTGTGTATATATTACTTTACATGGCAAAAGAGATTTTGCAGGTGTGATTAATAATGACTTTGAGATGGGGAGATTATCTTGAATCATTATGGCCGAAGCAATTGCAAAGTCTCTTAAAAGTGGAAGAAGGGATGTGATTGATGAGATATAAAAAGGACCCCACCTGCCTTTATTGACTTTGAGTATAGAGGTGGAAGGCCAGCACTAAGGAATATGGGCACTAGACAAGGAAAATAAATTAGTTCTTTTCCACTGCCTCCAAAAAAGAACATGACCATTAGTTTAGCCAAGTGAGGTCTATGTCATTTTGTAATATGTCTCATTTTAAACTACTAAGTTAGTCTGTGCTGATTTGTTACAGCAGCAAGAAAATATTAATGCAAAATCTTGACCAAGCTGGTAAAACACCATGAGCATCTGGTTCCCTCCTAATCTGGAACCCTTTGGCAACCCTCATTCATCCTGTTTGCAATCTTTACCCCTGTATAGGATTTCTGATGAGTGGTTAGTGGGTTTGAACCACTGTCCTTGCAGTCAGCATTTCAGTGCTTATCCTACAGTGCCATACCGGGACTCTACTCCCATTCACTAGAGTAGCAAATTAATTCTCAGGATCAAAGAAAGAATCTAAATTTCCTAAAAGGTCTTTATACTCACAATATTGTCAATTCTTTACACTCCTGCTAGCGATAAAAGCCTAGAGTAAAGCTTAGCAGTTTCTGGTGGCTAGAAGGAGAGAATTTGGAAACAGTAGGAATGGTACTTGGAATGTTTCAAGATCATGTTTGGATCCCAAGGAATGAAGAACCAGTATGCTTTAGAAGAGAACATGGTCATCCCACTCATGTAGAATTCCTCTCCCAGTCTCATCTCCCTTGGAGCAGAGGTAATGCAGACTTCCTGAATAAAGCCTTTGTCCCTATTCCTGCTCTGGAGCAGTCAGTTTAATAAACCCTTGTGAACTCTGGCAATGCCCAACTCAATGGCAATGCTGGTATCATTTCTAATCCAGCCCAGTAGGGCTGGTGTGGAAAAGAGCTCCTTCCACATTGCCCAGAAATGTACAGACAATGCAAATCAGCCTGAGGTATGAAGCATCTCTGTCCAGATGAGACTGGATCTAACTAAGACAACTCTAGTTAGATGTGGTGCCCAGTCAGTTCAAGCAGAAAGAATGCCTTGTAGGGACAGGAGAACAGAATTAAGAAAGGATGGTGATGGTGACGGTGATGAGCCAGGTCCTTGGGCAACTAGTGCTCCTGAAGTTCTCGTCTCTCTTCATACACTCTACCCTGCCCTGCAGTCTGAATCCTGGAGCAGATCCAAAACTGGAGGGCTGCTAGATCCCTCAGGTGAGATGGAAGGAAGAATCGATCACACACTGATCTAGGTTAATATAGATGGAAGGATTTCAAGAATACTAAAAGCAGAATCTCAGGAAGGATTTGTTCAGCTGAAGCAAGACCCTGAAGGAACTCACAGTCTACTAAGAGGAAGTATGCATAAAGAGTAGTTCATAAATGCTGTACCTGCCTAAGGAAACATAGTGACTTTAGGAAAGAGAGACTAGCTCTGCTTGAGGAACAGAGTTACTGAAATAGAGTTGACTGGGAAGTGGACCAGTGTTCCCATAGCTGCCAAATCAGGAAGAAGTTGCTACAGGTGGAGAATATCTCAATTCTAAGTCTGATATTCCTTCCCTTCTCTAGAGCTCGGTTTCCCCATAGGGAATTCTTTCTCTAGCTTAAGGTCTGGCTCAGGATTGGCTGTAAGGAATCCTTGATGAATGCTTAGGAATCTCCTTGTTCTCTACCCATTGCCCAGATCCTCCTGCCAAGTCTGGCCCCAGCCCAGATGCTCCCATGCCTTTCTAATGCTGGGATTCCCTCCCTGTTGTGCCCCTCCGTCCCTCTCAATCTGGACTTCCTCCCCGCGCCTCATTCCAGCTGTACCTGCACCGCCAGCACCGCCGGGCTCGCTAGCTCCAGAATAGGGCGCGCTGGTGGGAGCAGGGCGGTGGCCGGGGCTGCCCGCTGGGCCGCGGATCCCCAACCTCCGGAATCCCTCGAGGGCCGCGGGAGTGCGGCGGGTCAGTGAGACGGGAGCCGCCGGGGGCAGCAGCAGCAGCAGCAGCGGCGGCAAGAGCAGCAGGACGAGTCCTGGGAGGTAGCGATAGGGATCCAGGTGTGCCATGGTGGGCTCGGTGGTCCTGCTTGTGTGTCTGTCTGTCGGGTGACCGTCAGTCAGTTAGGGGCTTGTGTCCAACGCAGAGGCTGCGCATTTAAAGGTCCCGCGGTCCTGGGCCCCTCCCCCGGCCGCCCCTACGAGGGCCGGAGTGGAAACGACAGGGGATGGCTGCCAGGCGCATCCTGGGGAACCCCGCCCAAGATCAACAAGGAGCCTAGTCTGCGCATTCCAGTGGCAGAAACGGAATGTCTGGGGGAGCAGGCCAGCAGCTCGGCGGCCCGGGCTGCGGCCGACGGTGGTCACCAGCCCTCCCCGCACCCTGCTGCTCGGTCTGGGTGGGCTAGGCTGGGGGACTCCAGACCTGGACGGCCTCTGTTTCTCTTTAAACCTGGCGGGGTCCTGTCCCACCCTCCAAGACTTTCCTCTTTCCAGAGGAGGGTCTGATCCTTAGGTGCCTCTGACCTAGTCCCCAGTTGAGTGGGTCCTCAACTCTGCCCTCCCTCTACTCCTACTGCAGGTTTGCCTCCTGGTTAAGGGCGAGAACATGAAATGTTGTTCCTCACACTACATTCCTTTCTCCAGCCAAGTCATCAAAGTTTGCTGTGGGCTCTCAACTTAAAAAAAACAAACAACAACAACAAAAAAAAAAAAAAGAAAGAAAGAAAGAAGGAAAACAGTCCAACAATCTAACAGAATGAATAGAAACGCTTTCCTCCCAACTTCAAATATCCACAAATATAGGAACCTATATTACCAGGAATAGACAGTCAAACGTACATCCCTCAGAGGAAGGGACAGCCTGTACCCACAAAGTTCAAAAGCTCTCCCTAGAACCCATTTTCCCGCCGGAAGGGTGAACATGGCAGCGCAGAGAAGAGTCTGCCCAGGGGACCCTGAAGGAACTCACAGTCTAGTGAGAGGAAGTATGCATAGAGGGTAGTTCATAAATGCTGTACCTGCCTAAGGAAACATAGTAAATTTAACAAAGAGAGACTAGCTCTGCTTGAGGAAACAGGTGACATTTGAGCAGGGACTTAAAACAGGACAGTGACTATGAGTTCCAACAGATTTTATAGGATTTCTTTGTTTCCACTATTGCCCCCTACAGCTCATGCTACATAGAGTAGCTTTAATCATTTCTCTACTTGCTTCTGCCAGCTTCACTTCCAACAAAATCCAAACTTCTTTACAAAGCCTACAAAGTCCAACAGAATCAGATCCAGCCTTATGGACTGCTGTGACCACATCTGGTCCTGCATCCTTGCTCTCCATGTTCCAACCACACTAGACTTCCTCTGGTCCTGGGGGACAATGCCAAGCTTGTTCCTAGATTATGGTCTTTGCATATATTCTTCCTTCTACTTAGAAGACTCTCCCGCCAATCACTACTTGGTTTCTTTCATCACATCATCCAAGTCTCAGCTCCACTATCACTTTCTCACAACACCCTGCATGGTTATCATAGCATTTATTTCACCCTGGAATTTTTTTTGTTTTTTATTAATAGATTAGTTTTCCTGTTAATGGTCTACTGTTCCTCAACTTCTTTAACCCATGTAGTTTCTCATAATATAAAGTCCATAAGAGCACCTTGTCTTTGTTGATTAACTGCTGCCGCTTGCCCCCTACCACCACAGTATCCAATCATTCTCATTATAGTTAGGTGTCTTCATTCAATTAGGGCAGTGATCAAGTGTCAAGTCTGGTTTACATAAAATAGCAATAATAGCAGTCTTTAAGAATGCTGGGACTCTCTTCACAAATTTGTTCCTCACTGTTGTGGTAAAGGATGTGTCCTTTATCTAGCCTGATAAATCCACTCTACAATTCCAATTTCCCAAAGCTTTTGGATACCATACTCTACTGTATACTAAGGCAGGTCTGTTACTTCAACTTAGTGTATTGTAGGCCACCACACAATTCATGCTTCAGTGAACCAACCAAATAAACTATTAGGTCCTCTTTTCACCTCTGGAGATGAAACATTGAACAGAGAGTCTATTAATGGACCTAAATCACTAAACTCAGACTGATTCAACTCTAGGGCCCTTGTACCATTACCCTACACTCTTAATAGTCATTCCCACACATATTCTCGAGGTTTCTGTTTGTGCATATTAAAATATCAAGCCATTCTTTTGGAGTGTAGCATACTTCTTCCTGGTTCACAATTTGTACTTAACCTTTTGGGGATTGATGGGAGTCTTGGTGTGGTGCTATAGGATAAACTTTGGACTGAAAGTCAATTTGAACCAAAAGGTCAGCCGTTGAAACTCACCAGCCTTTTCCTCAGAAACCCTATACAGGGTTTCTCTTAGTCATAACCAATTCAATGGCACTTAACAACAACATAGTTCTAGAAGAAATAGCTGGGAACAGTCAGAAATGTCTTGCAAGATATCTGTCTTAGGCGATGCCCCAGACAATGCCTCAGGTATTGTGCCAGCAGGCAGAGTTGGGTTAATCTAAGTGTGGGCAGAAGGAATAATAGTTTTAATGATAATGGATCAGTAGACAAAGATGGAGTAATATCTTCAGACAGGAGGAGTGGTGCTATTAGTAAGAGTGATTCAATGAAATTTACAGGCTCTATGTCCCCAGCTTCCTGATGTTCCCATCCCAAGTTTCAGAATCCCATTTCTTCCCAATCAATGCCCTGACTTTAACATCAGACACCATTCCAGGTTGGGAATTCAAGTGGTGCTATAATTCAGCCCCTCTTTCAATAAGACTCTGGGTTTGTTTTTCAGCAATATCAGCTCAGCTTCTATAAGAAATGAGACTTTCTTTCAGGGGACAAGTGGAAACTTTGGTCTTTTATGTGGCGCTTGAGCCCTGAGCTCATCGCTTACCTTTACCACTTGCTTTATTATAAGTAGGACCAACCAACTAGCTTCTCTATGCTGCTACTCCTGGAAAAACTGCAGAAAAATATCATACACGGAATCACATAGAGCCTTGCTTCTCTTCAATATGTGATCTGTTGGTTATGATATTATACATATCAGTATAAAACAAGTCCACGAGAGTCAAACTATGACCTTGAACATATCCCACCTGAATTTGGAGATCACCTCAACAACACTGTTTGTGATAGGATAATATCCATATGCCTATGAGTCAGGCTTCCAACCTCAAGGTCAGCAGTTAGAAACTACCAGTGGTTCTGCAGGAGAAAGATGAGGTGTTCTGCTCCCATAAAGATTTACAGCCTTGGAAACCCTGTGCAGGGTCACTATGAGTCTGAACTGACTCCATGATACTTAACAACAACAAGGAAAACCAGTTAATACCATTATTATTCAAATGAAACTGAAGAATTCTACCAACTTTTTCAGTCTGAAATTGAGCAAACATATAAAAAGGATATATTGATAATTACTGGTGATTGGAATGCACAGTTTGGGGGAAAAAAAAGAGGAAGGATCGGTCCTTGGAGATCGCATTATAGAATTTTGCAGGACCAATGACTTCTTCATTGCCAATACCTTTTTTAAACAACATAAAAGACATAAGCACATGGACTTCACCAGATGGAATATACCTAAATCAAATTGACTACATCTGGAAAAGAGACTGGAAAATTTCCTTATCATCAGTCAAAACAAAGCCAGGGACAGACCATAAAACAGATCACCAATTGCTCATATGTGAGTGCAAGCTGAAGCTGAAGAAAGTTAAAACAGGTACATGAGGGTCAAAATATGACCTTGAACATATCCCACCTGAATTTAGAGATCATCTCAAGAACAGATTTGATGCATTAACACACTAATGACTGAAGAAGAAAGGAGTTGTGGGATGACATCATCAAGAACATTATACAGGAAGAAAGCAAAAGATCATTAAGAAGTCAAGAAAGAAGGAAAAGATGAAAA